GGCGGAGTACGGTGGTCTGTCGCTTACTATCGATTTCTCACCAAAAATAGATGAATGAGAGATGTTGCCATGACGACTGCTCAACTTTGTATTTGTTGCCCCCCCCCCTTCTCTAAATTCGTCTTTTGCAAATGTAATTTCTTTTTCAGAGAACTTCAATAACAAAAGGTCATGTTTTTATTATTCGTTAACATTTGGAATCGGAATTGATTTGATTTGAGAATAAAATTTATACATTATTGAGGACTTTATTTAGGCTAGTGAACTTGTTTTATGCCTTTGGATTTTTTTTTAAATTTGAAAATGAATAGAATTTTATTCTCTGCAAGCTTTTATTTATTAATGCATGTTATTTTTATGCACGTGTACGTAGTTTTAAAAGGATATAAAAAGTACTCAGATAGAAAAGATTCCAATGTAAAGTATACGCTTTTATTCAGAATTATTTTAATATTATTTAAATACTGTTCATTTGGGAAATTTTTAAAATTAATGACAGCTGACTGTTTAAGTAGTTGTGGCCAGTTTCGTAGCCAAAGGGGCATGAGAGGGAATAAACCCCCGCTCAAAGCCTCAGGGGGGGGGGGTGTCAAACTCATACATAATTAGAAATAAATAAAATCTTTTACCTTTTATGTAGGCTTTGGCTAATGTAGATAAATATGATATTTCTTTTATTTTTCAATCAAAAATTCTGTGTACATGTTGGAAATTTGGCAAAACTGCTTTACACTTTCATATGTGGTTGTAGGACAAAACAGTAGATTGTTCTGAAGCAAATCAAAAACGTAGTTTTTATGGTGGGAATTTTTGCTTTAATTGCATCGTTAAACTATTTTTATTCATTGTTCTTGACAATATATTAGAAATGAATAAGCTCTTAATTTTTAAGATACCACTTTAACGTTTAAATATTTGTTACGTTTAATTGTTGGTATAAAAATGTATTTTCTTTACAATACAAAATATATTGGTATTAAATGATCGTGGTTTGTCTCACATTCGGTACCATTATTAGAATTTCTTTAAGATAATAAATCTTTCTATAACAAAATCGTGGGGTAATTTTTAAAGCATCACTTATTATTTTCTAACTTAGGCTATTTTTGTAATATATTCAATTTATTTACAATTATTTTTACAATGTCTTTTTTAATTTCAATCATTTTTTTTTTCAAAATTGTAAAATTAGGAAAAACTAATGCTTTAACAAATTTTCTTATTTTTTTTTAAGAAATATATATATATATACTGAATATATATTGATAAAAATATATATTTGGAGTTTTTTTTAATTTTTTATAAGTTGTTAAATGGATAATTCTGAAATTTTCTTAACGTTTCTCAGTCGACAATTAATATTCATTTGTCAAACTACTTTATAAAATAAATTCCGAATTCAACTCAATTAAAAAAAATTTTTTTTTTCATTAAACAAATATAAAATGTACGTTTTTAACGCTGTCATTTGCTAATAAAACAGTTTTTTTCTTGCATAGTTGAAATATAGTTTCTGTTATTAAGTATAAATTAATATTAATGAATCTGAAGAGTTGTAGATTCCTACAATAATTAAAGTCGTTGCATACTAACGATTAAAGCAAGCAAACTTTGTAAGTGCTTACAATTTTCAACGAACTATTATTAGGTCTTATATATTTGTTTAAATTATTCATAAGTAGTGATGGATTAAAAATCATTTCATCTCAATTTTATTAAAATTAAATGTCATAACATTGGTTTCCACTTTATATAACATTGGTTACTACTTTATATTCAAGTAAAATCACCCTTTAAACCGAGTGAAGTTGGTATTTCAGAGTATAAATGGTGCTCAATCATCAATTAAAATCGATCACTTTAAGCTTATTTACTCAAGACAGTATTTTTAGACTAAAATAAGATCCATTTTGATTTTACTTTTAATTACATATCTTTACTTTTTATTTACATTTAATATATTTAATAATTGGCTTCATGACTTGTCCACACTAGCTTCAAGGCATGTCCAACTTTAGTCCCGTTATATGAGGCCAGTGTGGACGAAAGCCAATATTTTTCGGAAAAAAAAAATTATGAAAAAAATATCAATCCAGATTAGCTTATGTATCCTACAAAATTAAGACAGACATTCAAATTTTGATCTAAAAAATTGTTATGTAGGTTCAAAATAATAGTTAGTAAGATTTTCGTCAGATTCATAAAAATTGTTCATAGTATTGTTCACTTTCCCCTATTTAATTTTCTATTCCCCTATTTCTATCCCCATAATTTCTTCACTTTTTTATTCACTAAATTTACACTAAAATGTATAAAAAGTGATTGATAGAGATGTCCTAGCTGACGTCACATCAATTATCTGCCTAAAGAAAATGTTTCAATCATCAATCAGTTACTAAACAAATGACTAATTGGAATGCGTTTCATTTCAAACAAACTAAAATAGTGTAAACAACTTGTTGTCATTAACAATCACATTGATTGAATGCTAATAGGAATGTCCAAGTCAGAGGTTAAACTATATCACTTGATAATTATCATTCAATCAATAAGGATATTCAACCAAGAGGTTGAGCTGCACTTTAATGAAATTATTTTAATATTGTGGTTTTAAGAGAAACCAATTGTTTACACTATTCTAATTCCATTTGGTCTTTGCTAATGACTGATTGATCAATGATAAATTTTCAGAAAGCAAGTGTATACGTATATAAAATTAATTTTTTTTAAGAACACTTTTAAAAGTTTGCAAAACTTATTCAAAGAGCATTTTGTTACATAACTTCAGTTTTTAAATAATCTGAATCTTAAAATGGTCACGAAAAACGTGATCCCTTAAGTCTGACAGCGTTTTGCAGAAAGGAGCAAACTTGTTCCCGGTTGTCTTGTCTCCGCCTCCGATTGTGGATTTGGTTGATAAAAATTGTTTTGGATTGAACAAAACTGCAACCATAGGCGTCTTTAATATTGGAAGTTTGAACCCACTATTACACATAAATTCTAGTTCAAAATGTCTTAAATGCCACTTTGTACTAGTTATATCGTGATAAACCACGTTGAAAATCAAATTGAAATCAAGCAATTTTCTGAAAGTTTAACTGATTTTAATTCGCCAATTTTTTAGTTTTCTCATACTAAAAAAAATGGTGATTTCTTAAGTTTTTTTTTAATAACTTTTAAAATATTTGAGTTATTTTGCGGTTTAGCTGCATCAGTGAGCTGAGTCAGTGAGCAGGGAGCATGACGTACGAAAATGGGAGGTAAATTTTTATGGGCTTCCCAGGTCTTCAATTGCTTAAGGGGATTCAACTAAATTAGTTCTCAAAATTTCAAAAATTGAAAATTTTTTCTTCTATTTATTAAGTACCTAAAAAATGATTAATCTTTCCAACAAAGTTTTCTGTTTTTTTTTTTTCTTCTTTTGTCGTAGCTAAATTTAAATTGAATTAAATTTTTTTTTATTTGTATGAAATAGGCTATCGCAACGCTCGAATACGCTAACTAGGGAGAAGATTGGTTGCATGCCTTTGGCCCTTCCCTCTCCTCCTCTTGTCAGTTGTATAAGAATTTTTTATTCTTGATGTTTTTCGTATTTAATTGTTAAAAATATTCTTTAAAATTTCCATGATGCTTTCTTTTAGAACAGGGGTTTCCAACTTACATAAGGCCGGGGGCCGCAATTAAAGTACCAGCCAAATGGCGGACAGCAACTTTATCAACATTTTATATGGGACTCTTGTATGTTTGAAGGAACATTAAATATTACTATCAGATTTTTATCAAGTTTTACGAAACAAACGCATTGAATTACAAATTAAAATAAGAAGTAGATTTTTAAGAAACATGCAGGATAAATTTTGTATTTGAATAAATATTTTCTCGGATATAATCCCTGAGAAATAAACTTTTTTGCACCGTTGGTATGTTAAATTTCACAGAAACGAAGAAATTAGTTTCTTTTTTCTTTTTAACGAAAATTTTTTTCTTCTTAAACCCATATAGAGTTTTTACGAAAATTGTCCCTCAAAAATGACAAATAATATATTTTAGTTCGCGGGCCACAAAAAAAAAAGGCTTCGCGGGCCAGATGTGGTCCGCGCGCAGCCAGTTGATAACCACTGTTTTAGAAACATGTTTGATGTAGCTTTCAGTTCCATGAAGTTTCCTAACTTAAACGATTTTAATATATTCGAAAATCAATACAGAAACTAATGTACTTCCTTCTTCTATGACTCTCTACACGCTAATGGTGAAAGTATGCGAAGTTTTGTCATATGTAACGAGGTCTGCTGCACGCTACCTGTAGCCCATTTCTATCGTCCCGCAGTGGACTGATCGTTAAGACACGGCTCCCAGCAGATCACCGAAGTCAAGAATGACTGGCTGCTGTCAGTGACTTGGATCAGTATGCGTAGGGACCGAGGGTGTGCGGTATTGGTCCTCGTTAAACTGATCTACCGTAAAGTGCTCGACTTCGCGTGCAGATCTTCGGACTACCGAAGCGGTAGTGTTACCCCCTCTGCAGAGGATCAAAATTGTGATGGCATGTCTTTGGATTATACTCAGGGATGCTTCCCAGACCATCGCCAATAGCCCATAGTGCAGCTCTAAAGCGACGTAGATGAACTACAACAATATAGCTCATTCCTGTTGCCATCTTCCGATGGCGATCAGAGGTGCGCTAGTCGCATAAAGTGTAAACGGCCCATCCTCTCGCATGCCAAATAAATTGCATCCAGTGAGAATGATTCCTTAGTTTAACTAATGGTCTTTTTCACTGTTTAATCAATCAGGTAAATAGAGCTTACTATTAAGCACTCAGTGTTCACTTATCGTAACTGACCAATCTTAATTAACACAATGCACTCACTATTAATAATTTAATTAATGAGATTCTTATTTGGAATTCGCATGCGTGAGTTTTTCCCATACAGTGTGAATGTTCCTTATCACATCAGTGGAATTGACCCTGTAACTCATGATGCCATTTATTGGTTTCTTATAATTTTTTTTTTTTTGAACACCGGTATTTTAACTGTAATTTTGTGAAGAATTTTATTGTTGTGTCATTTTAAGTTTACAGTTTACCTTTTTAGAAATTAAATATTTCATATTTATAGTCCCGTTCTATTAATATTTGTAAAAGTATGTTATAATTTCTAATGAATTTTGAAGAGTGCTTTTAAAAAGTTCTTTAAGATATTAATTGATCGTAAATTGGTTGATGTTACGAATTAGTTTAACTAAAATTTGATGTGTGATTTTTTTTCTTCTAAAACTACTATTAATATGTTCTTTTTAATTTCTTTTTTCATTTTAAGTGTTGTGTCATGTGCATGCTTATATTTTTTGGTTTAGTTTATTCAATTCTATAGTTTAATTTGTTACGAAGAATGTGTTTCTTCCAAATACATTACTTTGGTTTTCTTAATCTGTTGTAGAAACTTGTTGATTTATGAGAAATGTATCGATACACCACTATTGTCATTAATTTGCTGAATGACTGAATTTTTCTAATTGAATCAATATTTAGTTTAAATACTTTGGTTAGAAGTTGAGAGATTTACCTATGGAAAGATTATCTAGTGTTGAAACATAGTTTGCAAAAACTGATATTTGAGGGAGTTGATGTTTAAAAAAAGTAATTTCTAAAATTTAAAAAATGATGCATCAAGGCAAATGTAAACAAAACGTTTTAATAGTGTTTTTCGAATCTAAACTATTATAATTTTTTAAACATAATCTAACGAACCATGTTAAGTTTCTATGTTAAGACTATGTTAAGTTCTTTCGTAATCAGGATTATTTATTATTAATCTTTTTTTAAACTCTGCATGATTGAGAGAAATATGTACTAAATAATAAATTATGAAGATTTTAATTTTGAATTGTATCTATTGTATACATTTATTTATGTAATGATTTCATCATTGAATAATGAAATTTTTTTTATTTCTAGAATGTTTATGACACGCTCTGAATACGATAGAGGTGTAAATACTTTTTCACCTGAAGGACGTTTATTTCAAGTAGAATATGCTATAGAAGCTATTAAGGTAAGTTAGGGTTGCGCAACCTGAGGCCCGAGGGCCACATGCGGCCCACCGATTGTTGATGTGTGGCCCGCGTGAGCTTCTGAAAGCAATTAAAAAGTTTATTTTAATTTGTTTTAATAACATTATAAATGTTCTTTAATTAAAACATTTAGTTCAAATTTATATCACTCTACATAACGCGTTGATTTTTTGCACTTTCATTCTGTAAACATCTTATTGGTTAGAATTTATATCCTCCCCCCAATGTTAATATATATACATATATTTGGTCAAATAATTATTGTGAAAAATGGAAAAAGTTTTTTTTTTAGAAAAGTATCAATTCTTTTTAGTTTTAAATAAATTCAACTAATTCAAAGTATTTAATTTTCTGCAAATATGTTATTAAGTTTACTGATAAAAAAATACTTAGTGCTTAGAACACTAATGTTTATATAAAAATTATCATATTTGCCGCTAACAAGACTAAATATGTGAGCCGCTCCTCGTTAATCTACCTGTTATGCAAGTGGTCCTTTCACTCAAAAGTTTCAAATAAACTAAATTATGATTATAAAAATAGTTTCGGTAAAATAAAAGAAATAAAAAAAAACAGTGATTTTTGAACAAATTTTGTCAACAAAAGTGTTGAAACTAAATACAATAGTCAATATATTACTTACAGAAATTTTTTTGATTGAGATTTTGTATTTGAAAAAAAGTTTTTTTTGTTTATCGAAGTCTGGTGGCCAATTAAACAATTGCTGCTAGTTATCACTCATTTATTACTGTTGTTGAATATTCACTGTATGGGAATTTTATTATTTTTCTCAGTAAGTATGGAATTATTGCAGTTATTTTAAATTACTTTATTTCATGAAGTTTCTAATATTTTTCTTTCATTTTAGAAATAACACTAGTAATGTTTACCTTATTTTGAGAAAAAGAAATGCTATACGTAATTAATATTGGGTTTATTTAATCTGTTAATAGCTGGTGTTTTTAAATTGTAACATTGCAATTGTGCACAGCTAAAAACCAGGCTAAATTTTGTTTTAAAATGTTCTACAGTACGGAACCCGTTATCCGGAAAACCAAAAAACCGGAACGATATTCGATAAATTTTCCCGCAATTTTTAAAAAGAAAATTTTTTTCCTCATAAGATTTTAGGATTTTTCTGTCTTTTTTGAAAGATGTTTACATTACCATCATTTCAGAAATAATCATTAATGTATTACCTCATCGTTTTTTCTTATTTTTAAGTTTATTTTCAAATATATATATTTTTTAGTTAGGTTTAACACTAAAAAAAACGGCTTTTTGTAGTGATTCAGAAAACCGGAAAAAGCTGTTATCCGGAATAGCGATAGTCCCGATCGTTCCGGATAATCGGTTCTCTACTGTATTTCAAAATAGTATATACTTTAAAAATTTTTTTAAATCATTCACATTTTTAATAAATATTTGTTTTGATGCTTCATTTGTTAAAGTGTATACAGAGAATTAAATATCTAATTTTGATAAATCAATATTTTTTACTAAAAGATATTTTACATTTAGCTGGGATCAACTGCTATTGGAATTCAAACAAGTGAAGGTATTGTTTTAGCTGTAGAAAAGCGAGTGACATCTCCTTTGATGAAACCAGTTACTATTGAAAAAATTGTTGAAATAGATAAACACATTGGTTAGTATATAATTTTTTTTACTGTCAATATTGTCTTTTTTATTGTCAATGTGTAATTTTTCTTATTTTTGCTCAATACATTCTGCATGTCTGCTAATTTAAACACGAAGAGGAAGGAAAAATAATGTGATATATCCGAAATTCTGATTTAACCAAAATGTACATTCAGTATCTTAGTTTTCATGCCACAGTCTGAAATTTTGAATTTCATGAAAGCTGTTAAAGTCTTAAGTCCTATTTTTAGGGAATAAGATATTTCCACAGAAGCAGGGTGCATTGCAAAAATACTTATTTTTGTTTTTTAAAAGTGCTTAATTTTCTTTTTCCCAAAAATAAATTTCTTCATTACCGAGCCGATTGTTACCATGAATTACCCAAAAAGCATAGTTTCCGTAATCATGTCATGAGTCACTCATCTGCAGTTTGTTTTGGCTTACTGTTAAGGTCTGGTTTCTTAGGACAAGCGGCTTATCTGGGCGTCAGCGGGACGTCAACGTCACGCTGACGCCAACAAAATACTGGTTTGTTAGCTCAAGGCCTGGTTTCTTAGAACTAACGCCTTATCTGGGCGTCAGCGGAAAGTTGACGTAGATCTGACGCCAAAAAAATACTTTTTTGTTAGCTCAGCGTGAGCAGTCGGTCCAACGCAGACATTATCTCTCATTGCGCATGCGTTAATAACGTAAACAAATATTTATTTTGAATTTGTATTGATTTTGTTATTGTCGACCAGTGTTTTAGAGAACAAATAATGACTTTGTTCAAGAAAAAACACATTATAGCTGAGCTAAATGAAGAGTGCTATGTTTAATGAAGAAGCTATGTTTAATGTCAAAATCAAAATCTTGGCTGATTTCAATGTGCTGTTGGATGTTGTCCGCCATTGCTTCTGTGGTTAACGTCACTCTGTAATCCAACTGCAGTTGAGTTGGACGGCAATTGAAGTTCAAGATAAGCGTTCGATGACGTATACTATCCAACTCACAAATGGACCAATCAGAGGTTAGCGCTGATTTCCAGCTGACGGCGTCCTGTCCTAAGAAACCAGGCCTTTACCTGTCGCTGTAATTTAATTGTGCATGCATTGAACTGAATTTATTGGGAATTCCTGCACTTTATGCATGCAGCTCTGTTGCATTTTGATAGAGTCTTAGGATTTTTGCTGAAAAACCTAATTTATTAAAAGATTTTTAATGCTTTTTTTTCTCCAAGTGCTTGGATTTTTGTGAAAGGTCTTTATGGGCTCTTGTATATTTACTTTAAAGATGAGTTGTAATTTACTATGCTATAAAATATAATTCAAATACTATATGTAAAGATGCCTTGCTTTTGCACTGTTATTCGCTCTCCTTTGTTCTTCTAAAAATTTGTTCTTTTGATTACTTTCTTTTTACTTGGGGAACAGGACAAATATTTTTAGAAGCCAATTTTAAGTGATATTTAAAACATTTAATTGTCTTAATTATTATAGTCAATTTTAAGAAAATTTATGTTTTTAATTTGATATATTACTGTTTAGTGGTAGCTTGGGAGATGTCAATAAAAATACTAGTGCACTGGAGCATCATTCTTTAATATAAAGCTAACAATCTAACAACTAATAAAACTCTAAAAAGGTTATTCATAAAACATTTAAAAACTGGTTATTAAAAGCGATTAAAAACTTAAACTGGTTGACTGCGAGCATTTCCTCTAAAGGTGGGTGTCAGCAGGAAAACAGAGTATCGGGATGAGATTCCTGAAAAAGCAAATGATAATTGTAAAAGCAGCAATAACAATTGTAAAAGCAGAGAGAAGATTGTTCACTCCTATCTGTAGCTTATCAGTCTCGTTCCTCCACCAGTATCCTTCTGCGTAGGAACTACACTCCTTAATCTTCTTACCTCTGGACCTCAACCACAATCCTTGATCTTCTTACCTCCGGACCTCAACCACAATCCTTGATCTTCTTACTTCCGAACCTCAACCACAATCCTTGATCCACCTACCTCGGACTTTCATGGTTTCTTTGATCTGTGCTTTTCATGTTTCTGTGCCCCGTTTATTACTCAGCAAGCTGACACAAATAAGTGCCTCTACAATTACAAAAAAAAAAATTATATATGTATTCAGAAGTTTAATATTTTTTTCTAATAGTTTAATATTTTTAAAATGTTTTTTTTTGTATATATTGTGTTCCTCTACTTTTATTTGAAGAAATTGAAATAAAAGTGGAGAAAAACTCGAAATTTTAAACTGCTCACTTTTTGTTATTCTGTTATTTTTCTGTATCTTATGTGATTTTCTAGGAAAAAAAAAGATTTCCCATTTAAAATGCCTAAGATCTCTAATAATTCAAGAAATAGAAATAATATCTGAAGTATAATACCAAATGAATATATTGAATCTTATTTTGTACTATAATAGTTTTGTTTTATTTTTGATTTTGGTTTAAACCCTATAAATTTCCTTTAATTAAAGTATATAATTCAAATTTGTATTATTTATTAAAATATGTATGTATGTATCTTTCTACACTTTCATTCTATGAGCATTAAATTTTTCCTTGTTAAAATTTATATTTTTTGCTAAATCAGTTATTGTTAAGAAGCAATTTTTTTTAAAAAAATAGTATCAGTTTTTTCATTTTTGAATAAATTCTGATTATTAAATATATTTAAATTTTCTGCAAATACGTTACTTAGTTTCCTGAAAAGCAAGCAGCTCTTGAGTTACAAAGTACAACAGCTTTTTCAAAAAGATCGATACAGTGTCATATCGATCTTTTTGAAAAAGCTGTTGTTCTTTGTGACTTGAGCTGCTATGCTTGCCATTGCATCCTTAAATAATCCCTTAACTTGAGACATTTTGGATTGCCGCCTCCAACTTGAATACCTAGCATCCCTTAAGAAAACCTTTGTTCTCCAGTGGGTTCCTCCCCATTGCGGGGTTACGGGTAATGAAAATGCAGACTACTTAGCAAAAAGGGGGCCCTTATTATTCAAACTTCTGCGCACATTATAGCCTTCTTTTTCATCAAACAGCTTATTAAGAGGACCTTTAAGACCTGTGCTCATGAAGAACTTATCGACCGTACTGCTACTAAGTCTTGGAGGACTACCATCCTAAATTTGCGAAATGGCCCAAGACAAAGAGTGGTGGCTGAATTCCGCTTGGCCACCGGTCATGACTGTCTGCGGAAACATCTGTCTAAATTTGGTATCGTTCCTTCCCCGGTATGCACTCTTTGCAGTTCTGGTGAGGACATGGACTCCACGCACCTTGTCAACTGCCCTGCACTTTGCGGGAATTATATCACTGAGCGCTATTGGGAAGCTAGAGACATGTTGTGATTAATAGACTCTGTTGCAGCATCTTTTGTTTCTGTTCTTATTTTTAAATGTTTATGTATGCTGTTACTGTCTATAATCTGCCATTGGAAATAAAAAAAAAAGTTTCCTGAAAAAAATGTGGTATGAAAGCTTATGTTGTTTTAAAAATTATCATACTTGCCGCCAATGTGCCTAAATATGATTATATTTAGGTGCCTTCTAATTATTAAATATATTTAAATTTTCTGCAAATATGTTACTTAGTTTCCTGAAAAAAAAATAGTGCTATGAGCGCTTATGTTTTTATAAAAATTATCATACTTGCCGTCAANCAAACTTCTGCGCACATTATAGCCTTCTTTTTCATCAAACAGCTTATTAAGAGGACCTTTAAGACCTGTGCTCATGAAGAACTTATCGACCGTACTGCTACTAAGTCTTGGAGAACTACCATCCTAAATTTGCGAAATGACCCAAGACAAAGAGTGGTGGCAGAATTCCGCTTGGCCACCGGTCATGACTGTCTGCGGAAACATCTGTCTAGATTTGGTATCGTTCCTTCCCCGGTATGCACTCTTTGCAGTTCTCGTGAGGACATGGACTCCATGCACCTTATTCACTGCCCTGCACTTTGCAGGAATTCTATCACTGAGCGCTATTGGGAGGCTAGAGACATGTTGTGATTAATAGACTCTGTTGCAGCATCTTTTGTTTCTGTTCTTATTTTTAAATGTTTATGTATGCTGTTACTGTCTATAATCTGGCATTGGAAATAAAAAAAAAAGTTTCCTGAAAAAAAATGTGCTATGAAAGCTTATGTTTTTTTAAAAATTATCATACTTGCCGCCAATGTGCCTAAATATGATTATATTTAGGTGCCTTCTAATTATTAAATATATTTAAATTTTCTGCAAATATGTTACTTAGTTTCCTGAAAAAAAAATAGTGCTATGAGCGCTTATGTTTTTATAAAAATTATCATACTTGCCGTCAATGTGCCTAAATATGCGTGTAGCCCTTTACTCATATATATTCACTTATTGGAATCAAAATTTTTGGATACCGAGAGATCACATTACAAGGCAGACACTGTCTGCTTTGTGAATGTTTGTGTAATTGTTTATGCGTAGTAGGCTGCTAGGTTTAATAAAAAATGTGTTTAGTAGCCACCTTTGAGGAGTGTCACTAAAGTGAGGTTTCATTGCGTTAATTGTAAGTTTATGTCTTAATGCTTAATTCTTTTACTGATAGGTTGTGCTGTAAGTGGGTTGATGGCTGATTCAAGAACTTTGATTGACAGAGCCAGAGTTGAAGCTCAAGTGAGTATCTGTTAGTTGATAATAATTGTTTGCAATGTAGCCATTGAATTTGAATTTAACTTGTTTATGCCCACTTTTATCATTTAAGGACAATCTAGGAGGATTAATAATTTTACTGCTAATTTTTTATAATGATTTTTTATTTCCTTTTTTTGGATTCATTTTATTTTTTTTAACTTATATATTTAGAATTTTTTAAATATTTTATTTTTTCCTCTGCAGAACCATGTGTTTGTTTATGAGGAACCAATGGAGGTGGAAAGTATTGCACAATCTGTATCTAATGTAGCTATTCAATTTGGTGACAGTGATGATGATGGTAATGCTATGGTAAGTCTTGTTATTTTGAATATACCAAAGAAGTCCTTATATTCTAAGATGAATGGATGCCAGTTAAAAAATTTGCCATAGAGAAAATATCATTATTTTAGGTTTAGAGACCTTTGCAGTTATATAAGTTGATGGTACAAAATCCTAAGTTAATGTGATAAATTCGAAAGTATATAATTACGATTTTTAATAAATAATGAAGTTAATGCTCATTATAAATTCATTAAGGCCTTTAATACTTATTTTGTAAATAAAAAGTTCAAAAGTGTAGACAATTTTTATCTATTTAGAGTATATGTTCTAACATGTAGTTTATTTTACTTGTCAAATGTTAAATTTTTATGAAAATTTATGAGCTTAAAAAATAGAGTCAGGCTCATATTGTCCTCTAGACTGTTCAAAATCTCTTTATCTATAGGTGATGAGGCAGTTAACAGTTCTTTGTTCACCACTGTTATTTTTCCTGTCATTTTTAATATCTATACTGATTCCAAAGTCCAAACTTTTAATTGCAGTTTTCTTCGTTAATGATGATCCTGGGTACCACTCTTCAGTCCTGAGGGCTGAAATTAGTCTTGAGAAAAGAGCTAAATAAAATTCATTTTCAATTTGTTTGTTAAGTTAAGTTTAACAAAAGAAAAATACATTCTTTTCTTTATAGCAATGCAATAATTATTTTCTGTTAAAATAAATCAAAAAGAAAATTTTTTTAATATAATTTATGAAAAATGATCAAGTAATGATGCCACACCCCAGTGAAACAATGGAATTTACTAAATTTCAACATCTTTTTGGGTAAACAAACTTTGTATTGTTAAATCTAAATTTGCTTAAGCCCTGTGGCAGATTTTTTCGAGCTTTCTACGACATACCTCTCTAATTCTAATATCTTTCTGCAAGACACTTTTAAAAATGACAAATATACATGTTACTAATTTAAAGTAACAGAAGCGTTTTTATTCTAATATTATGTTGATATACTTTCATTTTGTAGGGGAAAAGACAAAAATTTTTTTTCGTCTTTAGTAAATCATAATCACATTAAATAAAATCTTGAAATCCGTAGCAGTAACTTCTGAAAAAAAAAACAGATCGGCTGCAAAATCACACAAATCGGACTCTTCAAAAAGGGGTTATTAAATGCTTGTTTTCAGTTTGAGATCCAGTTATTGTAATAAATAATGCAGTATTAAAAATATTTGATTTTAAAAGCTATGTGGATATCAATAGTGATAATTGCATAAAAAAGTAGAACGGAAGTTTCTGCAGAAAAAAAAAAAAACTTTTTACTTCATTACTCTTTATTTTTCATTATTCTTAAATAAGAACAGAAGAGTCACAAGCATTTTTTCCCCCCACTCCTATGCTCAAGAAAAGTAATCTTTTGAATATAATACTGAAGAAAAGAAAAAATCTTTCGACTATTTCTGCCAAAACGAAAACCAAAGTTTTTTTCTTCCGAAGGGAATGATCTTTCTGCAAGAACTCAGTAACGCTCTGCGACAATGTCGCCATGTTTGCCCCGATTCTGCCACAAGGAGTAAGTTTGTATTCTTTCCTGACATTATGAGATACTGGGCATAAATGAATTAAGATCATTTAAAAAAAATGAAATTTATAGATCTAGGACAAAACATTAATGATCATGAAGTGAAAAGTAAGTGAAGATATTAACCCCTTAACGATCGGTTAATTTTCAAGAAAGCAATCGTAAAAGTGCCTATATTTTATACACGTATTTGATTAGTGCTGACATCTAGTTTAAAATAGACTAACTACTTGCAATTACCTTAAAAATATCCTGGTACTGCAAGCTGGTGTGTAAAATGAGAAATAAAATGTTTTCTGGGCAAAAGAAATGAATTAGTTTTATTCTTATTGGCGCGTTACTACTGAACACTCCAACTCGGGAATATCACAGGAGCGAGAAATAGAGGGCGAAACCTCACCCCGTCGTCATTTTAACGGGAGTGAAAAGGAAGGGGTTAATAACTCCAAGAAAAAGTTTGTTATGTAATTCAAAAATTGGTTTAAAAGAATATACAAGATTAGCTGTAGTTTTTGTTTTGTTTGCTTTACTCTTAAAAATAGACTAATAAAAATCATTATTTTAAAAAAAACAAAAAAAAAAAACAAGTTTTTGGTGTAATATCTAGGTTTTTCTCATGACACACAAGCTGTTGATTTCTGAAAAATTCTGTTAAATGATGCTAGGCAGTGTTAATTTTCAAAAATAAGTTCAGTCCTGAAATATTTTTAGACTGGATGAAAATCGAAAAAAAAAAAACTCTGAAAAATTAATCATAGGACGATAACCACTTCATCAGATGGCGAATATTTTGAACATTATTTTATGCTCCAATTAAAAATTTAATTATAGGGGAACTTCACTGTGGGCAGGCCCTACTCTATCTTTTTTTTTTGTTAATGTGCCCTTAATTGACTCTTCAGCACTTAGCTTTTTTGATTGCCGAAATGTTGAGGATAAAATTAATTTTTACTCAATTGTTACTCATACCATTACATATTTAAATGTTTCAGTTGTATTTATTTTCAATTTGAAGAAAACATAACAAAAGATAATTTTTCAAATTTTCCAAAAAAAGTGCAATTTTTCAAAATAAGAAATGTTGTTGTCTTAATGAGATTTGTTTCTATGTAGTGCATATCTTTATTGATTGATTTTATTTTTTCTGATGACTTTTAAATTTTATTTTGTAGAGCCGTCCTTTTGGTGTAGCTATATTGCTTGGAGGAGCAGATGCTAAGTCAGATCCACAGCTGTATGTAATTTTCATTGCATTTTTTTTATTTCAGTTAATATTCTCTATTGTTATTGCTTTTCCTTTGTAAGTAAAATGTGAATACTATCTTGAAAGCCACAAAAAACATAAGTAAAACATAATAAAGCTTAATAAATATAACAATTTTAAAATACACATTAAAGAAAGTTAGTACATTGAAGAAAGAATTTTTTTTAATGTGCTGTGTTCAGAGTGTAAAAAAGATTAATTTAAAGTTTAATAAAAATTTTTTTTTATACAGATGCAGTCAATGTTACTCAAATTTTCAGTTTTTATGCTATTTTAACAAATTTAAAATTAATCATTAAATTTTGCTCAAATGCATAACTTTAAAAAAAAAAAATTCAATTTTTGAAGGGTTATATTCAAATTTATAGCATTTTTTAAGTGTTGTCCTAAATCTGTGTTACATCTTAATTGATACATCTGTGTTACATCTGATATTACTAAATCTGTGTTACATCTGATATTACATCTTAAGTGTTGTCTAAAAACAAAAGCCTTTCTTTATTTTTGAGTTTAGCTCATATCTTTCATTGATATTAAAATCCTACTAGTTTTGGAATGAGTATTCATCAAATCTATAGTCACCAAATGTCTTTAGAAAATGGTTAATTCAGACACCAACCATGTCACCTTACCAAGTTCTAAATTTTTGATTGCTAAGTTTTAGAAAATGGGATGTGTGCTTGGCTATAGTTGAATGAAAAGATTGTTACATGTGTAAGCAAATGAGTGTTAAGAGCTTGTCATAAATTTTCATTAAATGAAAAAAGAAATGAAAGATAGATAAATAAAAATAAAAAATTGAAGTAAAATTATGTTATAAAATTGTGGCAGTAAAAAAGCTGTCCTAAAAAGTTGGCAATGCAGCAGTTGGTAATTAGAGATGTAACTGTTAGAAAGACTGTTTGTAAGCACCGTTTTCCTACTTGCGGTTTTAAGACTAGTGCACTTTTTGGCCTGCGTTTTTAATCATAAATAAATTACTGATACACGAGCCCCAGAAATCTGGCCTGCACAATATATGGCTGGAGGGCTGCATGTGGCCTACCAGCATTCAGTTTCTGTGTCTTGTTAATCTACAACAGTTTAATGTGAGTGTTAAATTTTTAATTTTGAAGAGAATCTGCTAATGAAATCAAATGTATAATGATAAGGTAAAATAAAAAAAAATAACCAAAAGAAATATTTGATGTAGTTTTTAAAAATATGTACTCATGGTGTTCTTTTTGAAAATAGTTCGTCTTATCAGAAGCATGTATATTATACAGATAAATAAAGTTTGATGCATTAAAGATTATATAATAGCATGTGTTACATCTTTTTAAAACTTTTTTATTTTGTAACATATACTTAAATCTCTCAACAGTTTGCAATTGGCAGATTTTCAAAAAAAGAAAAAAATAAGAGAGGAAAATGACACATATAATTGCTGTTACAATTTTATAAATGGCTTGGTTTCTTGTTAATTTTTTATAATTCTCATTTGGAGCTTTTTTTAGAAATATCCTAAATTTTTATGCTAAAAATAGATTTCACATCAGTGCAGTAAATATAATAATTGTTTTTAATGAAATGTGTCATTTCTGAAGGATCAGTTGTGAGATATTTTGTGTTATATATTATGTTATAATTATTATACTATGTATCTAAAGGATTTTGTAATTTAGTGTTTGTTTTATTATGCCTAGATTTCATATGGATCCTTCTGGTACTTATGTTCAATACGATGCTAAAGCAATTGGTTCCGGCTCTGAAGGAGCACAGCAAGCTTTGCAAGAACGCTATGATAAGGTATTAAAAATGTTTTTCGTTAGTGTTGTTAGATTAATTGTATTTTATTAGCAATTCTTTTATTTTTATTATTTGGCTTAGAATCAATCTTATCATTAGAGAAATAAATCAAAACAGCTGAATAAATAGAAACAGCTATAATATTTATGCAGACGTGCCAACTCTCCCGCATTTTGCGGGAGTCTCCCGAATTTTGAGTTATTCTCCCGCCCTCCGGAATTGATTTGAAAAACTCCCGAATTTTACTGCGATCGACGGCCAAACTCAAAATTACCTAATTTTTCCGCGAGTGCGAAGGTAAGTTTTTCTTTCAGCTTGAATTCCATCCCCTCTTATCAAACTACCATCTGCCTGAAGCGTAGCTGAACATGCTTTATTTTCCCCCCTCTTCAACGTTACCTCTAAAAACACTCCTATTTCACCCGCCCCCTTACACTGGGGGCGGGTGAAATCTTCCTCTTCTTTCGTGTGGAGTTGAATGCAATGACGTCACATGTCGTTATCGAGTGACGTCCGTTCAGGAGTGGGGAAACTCGTACTCTCGATAGTTGGAATTGATATTGTATCTTGCTGTTTTTATAGTTTTTAATGCGTATTTTTCCACGGTTGGCAACAAGCTCGTAAACTAGCAACGTGATATCAATTATTCGTTTAGTCTTCGTATATTTAAAAAAAAAAAATTTCAAGGATGTCTTAAGTCGAAACGGAAGTATGGATCAATTTCAACNTATTATAATATTGAGTTTATTGTCTTAGGAGAATGTTTGTTTATTGGCATTCTGGTTTTCATTATTTCTTGATTTATCACCAGGGCTCAAAGTTGTCCTTATATGTCCTCAATTATTAAGCATTTCAATAAATGTCCGGAAATGTTTGATTTTCCAAAACTTTTGTTGAAATTTAACAGGAAGGGAAAATATTATCTAAAAAAGAATTGAAGAAAATTCAAATTCAAAAATCATGTTATATGCTATGAAACAAAGTAAATAACAAAATGAACGATAAAGTTTTCCTAGCGTGTCCAGGTACTATATTAATCTACTTTCAGTATTAAAGACAATTACTCGTAATTTGATGGTGTAAAAGCATTGGATGGTGGGGAAAAAAGTTTTATCTCTTTACTCCCTCCTCATCAGTGCATACTCTACTATTTTTCAAAAGAGAGTCCTCGTATTTTTATTTTGCTACGACTTAGCGATTTTTTATATTTAGATTTACAATTTTCTCCTTTTTTTTGCAAAAAAAGAACCAAAAAGAATTTTGAGTAACTTCTTTTTTTTAAAAAAAAAATCCAAGTTTTTTTTTAAAAAAAATTCTTTTTTCACTTGATTGCAGGAACTACTGAAACTATTATCAATTGTATATCTGGGAATCCATATTGGTACTGTACAAATTGCTCCCATTAAAGATTCAGCATCAGATTCTATAACCGTGTCATCTTTTAAACAAAAAATTTTTGTTCATGTTTTTCTTTGGAAGATATATTTTAGCTCATTTTCTAAGACAGATGCAACATTGACTTGGCTAATAGAGAATAACTGATCTTTATTTTCGTAAGCTTTCTGATTCTTTTTTAAAATGCCTTAAAGATCAAGAAATAATGGAGGTTTAAAATTTTTTGAATTCTTGTAAATAAAACTATCTGAAAGGAGTTATAATCAGTGTATCTGCGCACCTGGAAAGTCATGAGAAATCATCGAAAGTCATGAATTTTGGTATTGAACAAAATTTGTCATGAAATGTCATGATTTTAACTATTTTTAAATAAAAAAAATCGAGGAAAGTCATGAATTTAGGTTGCCGAAAAATCTAATTTTTAGATTGGAATTTACCCTCCCCCATTTCATGGTGTTCTGAATATCTGAATTTGTAACAAAATCTCCACTCACAGTTATATTTTATTAAAATATAAAATGTTTTTATCATGTTCTTTAAAACTTATGTTCTTTCCAAAAATGAAAGCAAAAACATTTCTAAAGAAAATTATCTTTTAAACTTCTGTGATTTCAGAAAAAATAAATAATAACAAAAATTCTATTTTATAAATTTAAAATTCTAGCTGAAGTAAGCCAGTCATTGGTGAATTTTTTAAAATTCCGAAATGAGAATAGAAAAATCAGGAGTATTTCTTTCCTTTCCGATGAACAAGAAAAGTATCTTTAGAATATAATTCTGCAGAAATTTTTTTTTTTTTNATCTATTTTATTGCTTCAACTCTTTCTTTACTCTGTTTTTTAAATTTAAAATCTATAAATATGAAGATGCAGAGTATAACAGTTTTGGTTATACCTATCATTTCAATTAATGTTATTATAATGCTTTTTTAAATTTATTGTGTTTTTGTCAGAGAAAATAGAAACTTCGTTAAGTCATGAAAAATTCTTGGAATTAGTCATAGAAAGTCATGAATTTGAAAATCTAAAATGTAACAGATACCCTGTATAATGATTAATATTTCAAACAATATTGTTTATTTTAGCGCATGACATTAAATGAGGCCTTAAAAGCAGCTCTTACTATACTGAAGCAAGTAATGGAAGAAAAATTGAATTCTTCTAATGTTGAAGTGAGTACTCGTCTTAAAAAAAATTTATTAAAATGGTATTTTGGAATTGCTAATTTGATTTCATCATATATTTTTAAGCAAGTTTAAATTAAAATGTTTTTTTTTTAAAAAATTTTGTAAAAAAACTGTGTTGGAAGTATGTTTTTTAAAATATAAATTTATATTGTCAATACAAATGATCTTGTTATACATTTATTTGTTTATTATCTATTTATTTGTTTATTTATTAGTTAGGTAACTTAACAGAAATGTATGTACATTTAAATTAATGAATAGAGTTATTGAATGCATTATATATATTATATTTTTTAAAATATCTAGATACATCTAAATACTATTAAAGCTGTAGACCAGTTTTACAAATTCAAGCTCACGATTTGTCTTGTCACGCTTTTTACTAAATAAAAAGGGAAATTGATGATGTGATTTTGATATATTTTTTTAGTTGTGTTCAGCTATCATTGTTTTTCTGAAAAGTTTGAATTTTAATTTGACATTCATATTTTTTAGTTGTGTTTAGATATTGTTTTTCTGAAAAGTTTGAATTTTTAATTTGACATTCATTTTAAACTTTATTATGTGTCTGAAATTATTATATTGTTTCAATGTGTTTAAAATGAGTACAAACCTGACGATTCTGAAGGGGGAAGACTGGGACAATTGACTCAAGGCCCAGGAGTGCGGTTAAAAGTTTCTTACAAAAATGCGGTGCTTTTAAATTATTTTTTTTTTGAAAGAAAATGTCTGAGTATTACTTATATATATATCTAAATAAAAACTACAATTTTGAATAATCTTAGTTTTTATTTATTAATAAAAAATAAGACTTTTTGTGGTATAAGGAAGGGACCAGTAAAACCTGTATCCAGCCTTGAGTACAAATGTGAAAATAAAGATTGGTCCATGATGGAAGACCAGGGGTCTGTCCAGGCCAAATTTACTGCCGTTTAGCAGTACTTCCACAAATTCAACTTCAGAAAATTTCACAAAATACTTTTTCTTAAAATTTTATTTGTGTATCCCGTCAGAAACGATAAATCTATATTTTTACCAAATTTTTGTGTTGAATTTTTGATATAATTTTTAATTTTTACACATTATATCTAAATTTTTACAAAATAGGTACCTCACAGAAAAACCTAGACAGACCCCTGAAAACATTACTCTTATCGTATCATAACTTGCTTACAAATATGTTATTTAAAAATAAAAGATTGAATAATTTGTGAGGGAAACCATTACTCTTTGAATGTGAATTCAAAAGGAAATCGTCCAACAGTGGACTGATTAATCCCAGCAGATCACTGAAGTCGGGCATCACTCGCTGCGGTCGGTGTGATGGTGGGTGACCACTTGGTTCAGTCTGTGTAGGGTCCGAGGGTGTGCAGTATATTGGTCCTCATTAAACTGTTCTACTATAAAGTGCTAGACTTCGCACGCAAGTCGTCGGACTTCCGAAGCTGGGGTCCATACCCTCTGCAGAGGATCAAAATTTTGATAGCATGTCTTTGAATCATCCTCAGGGATGTTTCCCAGCCAATACCCCTTTGTGCAACTCTAGTGCAACGTCAATGAACTACAACATCAAATGGAAGTCCTCACCTCACACCTAAAATAACTTGTTTTTCCCTTTGGTAGATCACAGCAACAAACTGCTCAATTACATTTGTTCAGGTTTTTTGTTCTTGTTTTTTTTATTGCATTTTTCAATGAATTGCAATGCATCATAATTTGTTCATAAATCTCATTAAAAAAATATTTAACAATCTCCTCTAACATTTATAAACTATTTCCTGTTTATACAGGATCATAAGTGTATATAAAATGTATGCAATTTCCTTTCATGTTAAATTGCGTTACTTACCCACATTGATTAGGACTAATTGGTTTATTGTAGTTGTATAGTTGATCTTTAGCGATGAAAACTAATTGCCTTACCAGTTGGTTGTGGGGATTAATAATATAAATGCTATCAAATTGAGGATTCGGCAATGTGTAATTCTTGCAGCAAGTGCCCAATTTTTCATTTCAAGAATCTTGTCACATTCAATGAAGAACTTGATCATGCTCTAAACTTCAAATAATCTAAATAAAAAGAAAACACGAAAATAACAAGGAAATGAAAATAAAGAGATTGAGTTTTAAACAGAAGTGAGGTACAGATTGAATGTTATAAAAATATATATCAATATTTTATTATTTTTTAAATTATAAGGACTAATTGATTTAATATAGTTGTAAAGTTAATCTTTAGTGATTAAAATTGATTACCTTACCAGTTGTTAGGATAAATAATATAAATGCTATCAAATAAAAGATTCTGCAATGCGTAATTCCTTCAGCAAGTGTCCAATTTTGCTTCTGAAGTATCTTGTCACATTCAATGAAAAATCGACCAAATTAATCAAGCTCTAAACTTCAAATAATCAAAATAAATAGAAAACAGTGAAATTACAAGGAAATAAAAATAAAGAGATTGAGTTTTATGCAGAAGTGAGATAGACTGAGTGTTATTTCGAATTGACTATGTAAGCATGTTAACCAACTTTCTTTTCTACAGCAAATTTATCTTAAACATGTTTATGCTGAAGATGTGAAATTTTTTTACATACTTTCATCATTTATTTCCAGGTTGCTACAGTAACCAAAACAGTAGGTTATCATATGTTCACAAAAGAAGAAGTTGAAGAAGTTATTAAAGGAATTTAATTTTTTTGTGTTTGTTTTATTTTTTTAGTAATATGTCTGTTAAGAAAGTGATCAACTAATAAATAGCTCTGCTTTTTCTATCAAATGTTGTCTTTCTTTTTAAGTTCAAGTATTTCAGTAATGTATCAATATTTGTTAAAAAGGTATGTTCTTTAAAAAGAAAAAAAAGTCTATTGTAAATTTGTTTAAATTCCTTTTTCAAATTGTAATTTATCTTTTTTTAAATAAAGAAAGGTTTTAGTATGAGGAGTTGGGGAGTTACTAATACTTATGCTAAGTTGACAGGGTGCATAGCGTTTTTAAAAAGTGCTCAAAGGTGTTTTTTTTTTACGATTTTCGTTTTTTAAAAGCTCTTAAAGGTGCTTTTTTCATTGGGTGTTTCTAAAAAGTGCTTAATTTTTCAATTTGAGGTTTTTCCTTTGCCATATGTTAATTTTCGCTTCGAATTATGCAAAAAAAAACACAGTTCACATTGTTCTATTCAATGTTTTCACAATTAATTCAACCCCAATCTATTTCTGCATATTGTCAGTCCATAGCGTATGAAAACGCTATTCGTTTTACATGATTCAAAATTTCAAAACAATTATTCATAACAATGCCAAAAGTTTTTTTTTTTTTGACATGACGGTTAAAACAAGATAAAACCGTCAATTGTCAAAAACTTTCCAACCCTGCCTAATCATAATTTTTTGAAAATATTTTTTGAGTGCTTAAAAGGTGCTTATGTTTTTTGAATAATTTGGCTACGCACCCTGATTGAGTTTTTATCTGTTTTGAATTAAAAAAAAAAACATAATTGAAAAACAATGTGATCAGTTATGTATAGCTGACTCTATAATGTTAAAATTTAGCTCACCCGCAAGGCTAGATAAATTCACTTTAACTTTAAATGTGGCTGATTATTAATAATTTTTTCTTTTATATTATTAATGTCTATAATTATGCATTAAAGTTAATACCTTTTTAATTGCAATTAGAGTATTTCTGTAAATTTTAAGTAAGAGTTTTATTAATTGTCTTTATATCCTAGTTTCTGTTTTATAGTACAAATGAAACACATTTTTGTATGTGGATAATATACTGCAGATAAATATTATAGACTAGTGCCTTGAGACAATTTCAATTTTTGTAAGGGTGCTGCAACTTCAGAAAGTTCGGTTATCCCTTAAGAAAAATGAACCTTATTTTAGACTAGCGCCAAGGAATGGTGCTAATGTGAGTACTTGTTTAAAAGGGATTTGAAATATTAAAAATTGAGAAAGCTAACTCAAGTAAGTTCTGGGTTTATAGTTTTTAGTACTAAGTTTTAGGATTCAATTCATTGAATGTGTCATTAGAATGCTAAAACACTCGTGGAACTCCATTATGAAAGCACTTCATAATCTATTAAATAGTAATTTAGGTGGAAAAAGTAAGGAGGATATTCATCACACCTGGGCTATATTAGATAAATTTTTACAATGTTTGAAAAGTGAACTTATAACACTTGTTACGCAAAAAATAAGTTATCAAAAGTCACAGGGAAAAATTGTTAAGAATTATTTAAGAGAGGTTAAAAAAAATGTGTCAAAAATTCTTTCTTCAAAAATTATTTCTTTTTTATTTATTGTAGTAAGTATGATTGGAAATCTAAATTTTTTTTTGTCTGCAAGATTCTAAATTTTTTTTTTATCTATCTCTATGTCACCCACAAATTTGAGAAATGTTAAACAAATTGTGAAACTAAAGCTTCGAAGTCTCTGGGTTTCTTCCAACAGAGAGCAAGTTTCTGGAAAACCTTGGGAGAGCCTTCTGGCATCTTGTCTTTCAAAAAATCTCCCTAGAGCTATCGGTGTTTCATCTTTCCGATTGTTAACGGGGCACGATTACTTACAGACGCACTTGCACCGTGTTGGTCTTTCTGACTCTCCTAACTGTACTCTATGTGCAAATAGGGCCCATATGAATGGCTAGCATCTTGGAACTGCTCTGCCCTCCAGGAAGCCCGTAATTCTTCTAGTTTCAGGACGCTCTCTGTCATATTGGACTGCAAGACTACTCGTGCTCAAGAGAGCAAATGATGAGCGTAATTTAAAAAAAAAATTTTTATCTGTTCAATCGGAGCTATAATATTAAATAATTAAATATTTGCTTTTGTTTTGCCCATCTATTTAATATCAAATAAATTATATCTAAGTTGAGAAGAAAATTACTGTGATTAAATAAGATAATTAGTGTAATAAAAAATTTGCTGTGATTAAGTTATTAGTCATATTACAATTTTGTTTTTAGAAGGCAAATGGGAAATATTATTCCAGTATGCAGTGAATATGTTCTGTAACGAAAATTAAAGTTAAATGAAAATTGACTTGTAAACTCTAGTATTTGAAAAAGAAATGTTAGTAGAACCACAGATAAGGTGGCTGCACAAAATTCTGGAAAAAGTAGATGCTCCATTGATGGCAGAGATTTTTACTCTCACGATAAAGGGATTTATACAACATTTTTACACTCACACTAATAATTATAATTTCCTTTTATTATTTATTTTAATTTTAGTGGAATGAAACAGTAGTTCTTTACTCAATGTCCTTTGGTGAAAAGAATTCCTGCTGTATGTTTTTGATAGAAAAACCTGATTTTCCCTCCTTTGTTTTTTACATTTATTTTCTATCGATTCTTTATTTAATTCTCCAAATGATAGTTTTGTAAGTCATTTTGTTATCACATTTGGTATTAAATTTTACACTAAATGCTTTTTTTTTTAATCTGTTCTCTATTTTTTGCAAGCATATTTGAATTAGCTTTTAAATTCTACGAGTTATATTCAAGAAGGAGATTGAAAAAAAAATATGGTAAATGCAGTTACAGTATTTTTATAACAAAATCGATTGGTACCAGTAAAAAAAAATCGCTTTGATTTCAGTGATTTGCTGGACTGGAAACCCGATGCAGTCGTTAGTTTTGCTGCAATGCAAAAATAATCCTAAAAAAAAAGAATCTTGGTTTAAAACCTTTGCACTAAAATGTATGGATATTCAACATTTTCCAGATTTTTGTTTGTATCTAAACCATTTTTTAGGAAACGCTGAGCAAACATTTCGTCAAATTGAGGAAATTATAATTAAGGATGCTAGTTCTATGATAGAAAACGAAAAATGATTTCTGCATTTGATTGGTACCAGGATACAAATTCTATCATACAAATACGACTCAATGCTAGGCAAAGCTATTAATCGAATAACTCTATGTACAGCATTAAACAAAAGGAGTTCGACCTAATGAGTTCTCAGTGGTCTCCAAGATTCAAACTCGGGAAATCAACTTGAGCAATTAAAGCACTATCCCCTATATCATCCCGTTTTAATATGTAACCGGTTTTAAAATCTGATAAAAAATGGTGGAGAGCTTTCAGAATGCACTGAGATATAAGCAGTTTTGTCAAATAATTGACAGTTCGCTTTTCGTCAAAAATCGCTAGATTTCGTGGCTAAATGATTGTCTAAAGCAGAGTTTCTTTAACTGTGGGTCCCGCAGCAGGGCCGCCAAAAATTTTAGCAATTTTAATGTTTATCTAGCTTATTATAATTTTAAAATTCCTTACTATGTTTATGCAAAGTATCTGAAAATAGTCTAAGATAAGACAATACAGACAAAGAAAAAACTAAAACATTTCGACGCATTTTTATTGTATTGTTTTAAAGTTTGTTACTTATTTAAAATTTTCACCTTGTTATGTGTTTTGAAATTAAAAAAATATAGATTAAGACCGAAAACTCCAGTAGTGTATAGTACAAATGAAGAAATTGATAGTTCCACTTAATGCGTTTGTCGTATTGTATTTACGCATTGATGTGATCCCACAAAATTTTCGTAAGTATTATGGGGTAAGTTTAAACAACCCTGGTCTAAAGCAACACGAAATATTGCTCAATTTTCAAAAATAAAGTTTTTATTTCAATGAGAGTGGTTTACTTAATTCTAGGGAACTGAGTAGATAGTTTAAAAGAATAGATTTTAGAGTAGATATTAAAAAAAATGAAAATTTATAGCTTTATAGGAATTAGAGTTGCATAATATTTTTAATGAGTGAATTTATATTTATCGGTTCGGTTCGTCATGTGGCAGATATTTTTTTCAGGAAGTACTTAATTTCGCAAGTAAAAGAAAGGAAATGCTGATGAAAGATAAGAACTTCGCTTCTTTTGAAGGAAAAAAAAGATATTTATTCCCGGAAACTTAGTTTTTAAGCTTAATAATTCTTAAATCTTTTTCCATCTTAACAGCGGATACACTCCTCTTCTTATACCCGTTTGGGCAACTTAGTTTGTAATAAGATCCTAGTAAATAGGAAATCTTTATTAATCTCATGTTACTTAATTAATAACATGATTTTCACGAATTTCTTTGCCTCTATTCTAAAGCATTGATCAAATTAAAGTATGCATTCATTACGTAATTCTGCAAAAAAATTTTTTAAATCAATTGAGCAATGCCAGTAAACTTTTCTTAAGAATTGTAACGAAGATACACCGGTGACTGATTATATGCTAGAAATAAATAACAGCAAATGTATAGAATCATCTATGTTGTTTTTTCTCTGTATTACAGGGACTGGCCTTATCAAAACTCCGTTATTTATTTTAAAATTTCAACTGTATTTAAAAAAATTTCGCAACTTCTGAAATGCCCTGTTTATAAGAATTTGATGTCAGGATAGTTTAGGATAGTTAAACTCATTAACCAAGAGAGCCGTGTTAACAGTTAGACGATTGAAGTATTTTTTGAGAGCCTTATTTTTTAAACTGAAACTAAATAGGTAGGTGGTATATTGTTATACACTCAATTAATTTACAATTTAGCTGGTTTTAAAAAAAACGTTGTCAATTGATCAACGTACGTTCACTGACCCTCTACTAACTCTCCCATCTATTGCTTGTCTAAAGTAAGAACTCCCCTAGCCACTCGTCTGGACTCGCAGCTGTGGCTATGGTAACGAGATATAACTATTTCAATTCATGGAAGTGGTGGAGTCATTGTTTAGGACAGGTTTTGACTCAGGTCGGAGTGAGAAAGGGAATCTTTTTTTTTTTCGGTT